GCTGGAGGGTTCTGAGGATTGTGTCTTGGCCTTTGGAAGAGCCCTCTGCACACTCAGCTTCATCCCCTGAACATGCTTCTCTATAATGCGAACAGCAAGGATTGTGCAAATAAGGCATTTCCGATTCCAAGTCAGTAGCAGCCTCGTCTGGGCCTGGGATCTGCCTACCCCACTTCCGGCCACCCGTAGCCAGTCCCAGGGTAGCTGCATCAATGCAGCCCCCTAGTGCTGATGAGCAAAGAACCAGTGGGCCCTCCTAAAAATAGCACAGAGAGGGGCTCCCCCCATTCCTCCCCATGGATTCACCCGGCCCTGGGCAACCTCCCCCATGAGTTTTCTCTTTCCAGATACACGTTCCGACGGACCCGCCTCGCACTATCTGTTCACAGACGCACAACAACGTGCTGAATGGGGTAAGGAGGGGCGCTCGGACTCCGAACTGGGGGACGAGGGTGCCTGAGCTTTCTGCCCTCCCAGCCAGCTTGTCTGTTGTGGGGGAATGTGCATGTGGAATCCTCTCTCTCTCCTCGGCTCTCTTCCTTTGGCCAGGGCGGGTCACCACTCAGATCAGCCAGAGGGGGCACTCCCTTGCGCACAGGGGAGAGACCGTGCTGCCCCGAGGAGTGAATCTGAGGCCGTGCTGAATGCTGGATGCTTTGTCCTTGTGGCTGAACTCGGGGCGGGGGCAGGGTGTATTTAGCAGGAACCCTGGAGCTGGTCCCCTGGCCTCTCGGCTTGAAACGGCCTCAGTCCCCGGTTCCTGTCGCGCCTGTTTACACCCACCCCTCCGTTCCCGGCTTCCCCCGCAGGTCAGCGCAGAAGGCAACATTGTAGTAGCTGCCTCCGGGGGCCTGTCCTTGGAAATCTGGAGGCTCGATGCCTGATGGGAGGCCTGGATCCGCAGAGCCACGTCTTGCAGCTGGGGCCCCAGAGGGAGGTTCTGCACCTGGGGACCGTGTTCCCGCCCAGGGGAGGGGCCAGAGTTTCAGCATTTGTTTGTTCGTTGTTCTTTGAAAGAGGCCCGAGGAGCTGGGAGGTCAAAGCTGAGCTGAGCCTGAGCTCGCCCTGGCGCTGTCGTTCCCAGAGCGATTTCCATGCCTGAGTTTCCAGAGGGATCGGAGCCTGGCCAGCCTTTCCCTGCTAGACGCACTGACTTAGCTCTCTCTGGCTCACATTCTTCCACCGCTGTCCCCTTTTCCACCCTCTGGGCTCCTTCGTTATCACAATCCTGGCCTGACTGCCAGGCGGCCTGTGCTACTTATCTGTCTACCTCCCACCTGCTTTTCCACGGCGCAGGGCTCTTGCTGCTGGTCCTTCGAGGCCGGTTCCCAAAATCTCTCAGGTCACAGCGTGGGAGGGGACGGCCGTAAGGGGTCAGAACCAGTAACCATCCAACCCAGCTCCACACAGCCTGCTAAAGGTTGAGGAAAACAGACGCAAGGGCTGACCAGATCGAAACAGAGTCCAGAGATGATGTGTAACTTACAGGGACTCAGTTGAGACGCACGTTCTAATGTTGTTGATTAAACTATTCTGCCAGACAGGATCTGATTAGAGATGTCAGTGGATTTTTATCCCCTTCCCAGTGAAATCACGTGTTTAGTTTTAAATTCAATCCCTGTAGCCTTGAAAATCCAGGCACAGTGGCTTCCTCCCGGCACCAGCCAAGTAGGAGACGAAAGGACCCAGGCTAGCTTCAATCTGTAAGCTAAGTGAAGCACTTGGCACTGGGGGGAACTGGGCTGCAGATGCTTTATTAGGAGGGGTGTTTTGAGAGCATCAGCCATGATCAGGGCCCCAGGGGTTGCACAAACACAAAGTGAGACGGTCCTGGCTTCGAAGAGCTCACTGTCAAAATGGACAAAACGCAATTTGAGGTTCCTGGGTCTGATCCAGTCCAGGTCAGGGGGGATCTAGGGGCCTTACTGCCTGTGTGCAACGAGCTGGCACGGCCGGGCCCAGTACCCAACAGAACCGGCTGCCATCGCTGACTGGGCTCCCTGGAAGGGCAGGCTGTAGCTGTCTGCCTACCAGGCCCTTATCACCGTAGTAACCCAGTGCTTCCCAGTCCCCCTCCTGGGAAGATGAGGAAACTGAGGCACGGGGGAGTGGAAGTGAGTTGCCCAGGGTCACACACGGAGTTGGTGGCGGAGTTGGGCATCCATCTCCCCAGGGAGGGGGGCTGAGAACGGAATGACCCACTGGGTCTTAGCTCCTCCCCCTTGTGCTCACCCCCAACGCGAGTTCCTCCAGCCAGGGATGAGGCAGCTTAGTAGAGTGGGGTCAGCTTGTCCAGTGGCCAGTCTGCCCCCCCAGCCCCAGGGGGATGGAGTGAATGGGGACCTCAAGGGCAGCAGGGCTGCTAGGCCAGCTTGTCCCTGGGGCTGGCCTGCCCTGCCCTGCAGTCAGGCCTGGCCTGGCTCCCCTTCCCCATGCTGTGTGCAGAGGCTGTAACTGACGAGGGGATTGCTGTACCTGGGGGAGAGCCTGGCTGCGTTGAAAGCGATGGTAAAGCTCCCCCGGCTACAGCAGGGCCACGCTTTTTCCCCAACTCCCTGCTCCTCCTCTCGCCTGATTTACACCAGGAAGGATCGGGCCCCAGGGGTCAGACAGTCTTCTGCTCTCTGCACACAGAGGCTGCGCTGACCTGGATGTGGGGAGGGGAGCAGGGTGATAGGGTGGGACACAGCAGGAACCCCGTCATGCCCCCTCCGAGCCTGCTCCCCTCTTCAGAGGCCTCTGCCTGTTGTCCGCATCGGGCTGGAGGTCCAGGGTCCTCACAGGATGCTGCAGGTTTTCTTGTCTCTGAAGGGGTTGGCAGAGGCAGGGACACGGGTCAGCAGCGGGTCGCTCTGGGTCCGGCAGTACTGCAGCAGCTCACTGGCTGCCTGGGAGACCTAGAGCGGGAGAGAAGGCAGCTGAGGAAAGCCAAACAGCAGGGTGAGGGGGGTCTGGGCTAGTGGTTAGAGCAGGGAGCACTGGGAGTCAGGACTCCTGGGTTCTATTCCCAGATCTAGGAGGGAAGTGAGAGTCAGGACCTTATCCTGCGGGGCTTCCCAGAGATGGGGACAAAACCCAGGAGTCCTGGTTCCCAGCACCCTCCCTGGAAGGGTAGAAGGGTCTAGTGGCTAGAGCAGGGGAGTGCTGGGAACCAGGACTCCCTGGTTCTATCCCTGTCTTGGGGAGGTCCTGGAGTGCGAGTTCGTGATTCCCACCCCCTTGCTCTAACCACTGGAGCCTGCTGTCCTCCCAGAGCTGGCAACAGAACCCAGGTGTCCTGACTTCCAGCCCCCACCCCACAACCCCAGCCAGGTTGCCACCACAAAGCACCATCTCGCTGAGGGGGAAACCAACTCTGGGCAGAGTGAGCCCATGGTAAGCTTTATGTAAGGGCCTGGCGCAGGTCGGTGCCAGCCGGGGCGGCCCCGTGTCAGCAGAGCTGAAAGAGGCCAGGAGCCTCCACGCCCCCCTGCAACGTTCCAGCACCTCCTCCTGACTTTCCCATCTTCCCCTGATGCTCCCCCAGCTCACACACCAGGCACTGCCACAAGCTCCCACCCGACATTCCCATGCTCCCCCCAGCTCACAACCCCCCCACCTTTGCCCCCTGCCCGTGGACACCTCTCCTAGCTCCCAACAAATCCCACCCCACCCACCTCCATCTAGCCCCCTCCCAAAACTGATTCCCCCATTGACAGCAGGCCTGAGGGCAGGGAGTGGGGAGAGCTGGGGCGACCCCGTCCCAGGGGGCCAGTCTCTAGGGCAGGGATCTCAAACTCAATTGACCCAAGAGCCAGTCCTCAAATCCTCCCAACGGGCCAATAATGTTACTCATGCCGCCCAGAACCTGCCCGCCACCTGACTAAGGCTCTGGGAGGGAGTTTGGGGGGGGAAAGGGGTCTAGGGTGCAGGCTCTGGGAGGGAGTTTGGGGGCAGGAAGGGGGGTGGGGGCGGCGCTTACCTGGGGCTCGAAGGTGGGGCGGGCTCGGGGGGCCTCCACGTGCTGCTGCCCCCAGGCACCAGTCCCATAACTTCCCACAGGCCGCGGGGGCAGCCTGTGGAGGCACAAACCCGCCCCGGGGCCGCAGGGAGGGGCCGGCCGACACGTGTAGCAAGCAGGCAGACGCCGCTCAGGTCCACTGCACTGCCAGGGCCCCTGGCCATTTTAAATTGCTTGGGGGGGGAGCTCCAGGGGGCGGCAGGTGGGGCCAAGGGAGAGACCCGGCCCCAAAACTGCTGGAGCCCCGCAGGCCACATTGGGGAGGTTTGCGGTCCACAGATGGCCCGCAGGCCACGACTTTGAGACCCCTGCTCTAGGGGATGCCTCCTAAGAGCCAATGAGTGTGGGGCTCCCCCAGTGGTGGGCACTGTGGCCTGGAGTGAATCTCCCAGGGAGCTGAGGCTGGCCGCTTTGTGTGGGGATGGGAGCCACCTGTGCTTTACACTGTCACCAGGACCCTTGAGGGCTGGGGCGAGGTTTACACCACCCCACCCCTCCGTCCACATGCCTGCTGAATCTGAAGCCTCAGCCCTTCTCTGTGAAACGGTGCAAGTGCTTCCTAATAACTACTTTCCAGGCTCAAACCCCCAGCCTTTCGCTGCTGGCCTTGGGGGCCAACTATAGCCTGCAGCATCCTGCTGGTTTGAAGTGAAAGTGTGTATTGATCTAGGTCTGGTGAAAAGGTGCCAACAGAACAAACCTCTGAGACTTAAGTCCTCTGTCCACAGAGTAGATGCAACGTGGCCAGGAGCCAGCTTAAGCTTCCCCCTTATGCCATCCTCCCAGTGGGCGAGGACCCCACCCAGCAGAGAGCAATCTCTATGGCCGAGTCAACACTTGGCCTCTGTACTGTCAACAAGTCAGTTAGTGCCAGTCATGGTGAATTATTTTTACAATGGGGACCCTCGGAAACTGGACTGAGACCCACAAAATATCAGTTCGATGGTAAGTACTTTCAGCCCCTATGAAACCGATGACAAAGAGATGAAAGGCACCATCCTACATGCGCACAGATTGTTTTTTTAAACCAAAGCTCCTACAGCAACAACCCATTTATTTTGATAGCCGAGTGTTACAACACACTGCTTGTACAAACAGATGGTTCTAGCGTGTGAATCCTTCCTCTCTGCCGACAGCGTCTCTCTGGGATTTGCAAGGAGTTGTGCAATGAGCTGTAATCTCTTCACCAAGGCGGGGACATGGGTTGGGGATTCTGGAGATAGGACATCACCACCGCAGAGATAGACAACCTGAATCCAGAGGAAGAAAATCAATCATTTTAAAAAACAACCAACCATGAGGTTTTTTTATTATTTCAATATCCACCGTCATGTCTGGGTCTTATACAGCATTAGCATGTTGGTGAACAATTCCCAGGGATTCCAAAGTACTTGCTTTCTCAACCATGCATACGAGGATTGCTCACCCACCCCGAAATGGAGCCACCTCTACAGTGGAAGGCAGCAGTCACTTAACATCAAACACTGTTCCAGTTTTTTGACAGATGAAGAATTTTTCATCCAACTGGAACTGCAGTGTAGGTATTTAAGGAAACAGACTGTAGGTTCCAGAATTGGGAATTGGTCAGGATATGGGTTCACAGCTCAGCTTTTAGGAAAAGATGCCATGGAATTTAATATCCAAGAACGAACGAGAGCTCAGTTTTAGATCTCATTCAAACGATGGCACCTTCAACAGACCAGCCCTCTAGCACCAAAGCACCACTCTAGGTCTCCCCCTCATCCATCCCCCAAATCATTTAACATAGGCTCTGAAATCCCTGTCACTGGAGGTTTTTAAGAACAGGGTAGACAAACATTTGTCAGGGACGGTCTTGGCATACTTAATCCTGCCTCAGTGGGCTGGGGGGACATGCACAAAGCGGGAGGGTCTTGGAGCCCAGGCTCCCACCTGAGCGGGAATGTCTCCACTGCTATTCTTAGCCCTGCGGCTGAGCCAACTGATCTGGTTCTGAGACTCGGTGCCGTGGGATTTTCTTTGCAATTCAGATAGACACTAGGTGATCTCCTGAGGTCCCTCCTTGCCCAGCATTTCTAGGATTCTGTGAAAGAGCAGCCAGTTGGTGAAGGGAACAGGCACGGTGAGGCTATGGAGTGCTACAACGCCCAGCTGCCCAGATGTCCTTTATAATAAAGAGCAGGCATCTCATGTTTGCGTCACCCTAGAAGGCATCTTATCTATGCAAGAGCTAATGTTCATGCCTTTCCTGCGCACCTTAAGCATTAAGCCGCACATGCTGAAAATCATCCCCAGCAGGTTCATGTAATCTGGAGTGGGATCTTCCAGCGTGGGGTTGTTCTCTGTAGACGGAGGCTTGTACCTACAAAGCAAGCGTGAAATGGCATGTTAGGAGAGAGAGGAGGGAGTGTTAACTCACGCTTGGAAACTATTCGCTCTCTTCTCCATAGGTAGCGTGAAGATAAACAGGGATCTGCAGGGGTGCGGAATGGGATAAGGGGCCTTTCATCTCCAGGTCACTGGTATCAGGCCAGCCATAGCTTAAGCAGACTGGGTGGCTCAGGATGGGGATAAGGAATCAGACATGGGAGTTTTCTCATCTAGAGCAGTGGTTCATATCCACCCCCAGGCCTGAGCAGCTTAGTACAATCAGGGAATGAGATGTGGAGCCTTTCACCTCCATTAACCAGGTTTAATGCAGGTAGAGAGGGACCTAAAGTCAGTCCCAACTGAGGTAAGTTCATGGGAAATGAGGTGGCAGGTTTCCGGTTGGTTGTGATTGGTGAAGGGGGTGGTGGTGTCTTGGGAACAAGAATAACCTGGGGTGAGAGATGCCAGTATCTCCACTTCCCTGCTCTCTGCCATAACCCTCTGACAACTGGCCAGATTCCTGCCACCCACCCCTCGGGGTCCTGCTGGGCAACCCCACTGGACACAGACCCTGCGGCGATCACCCGCCCCTCAGGGTCCCGCTGGCCAACCCCACTGGACACAGACCCCACGGCCATCACCCGCCCCTCGGGGTCCCGCTGGGCAACCCCACCGGACACAGGCCCCACGGCGATCACCCGCCCCTCAGGGTCCCGCTGGCCAACCCCACCGGACACAGGCCCCACGGCGATCACCCGCCCCTCGCGGTCCCGCTGGCCAACCCCACCGGACACAGACCCCGCGGCGATCACCCCTTCCCATTTAACAGGAGAATTTGCCCTGCCCCAAGGCTTTGGCTGTCAAGGGGCTGCCATGTGGAGCTCGCTGGCCGCTCGTCCCTCGGGGGCACGCTCCAGCCTTCCCTATGGGGCAGCGCCGTGGCCTCACGACGGGGCCCCAGGGCTGCCAGGCTCAGGGGTTCTCACACCTCTGTCCTGGTGACCCCCTGTCACGGAGCAAGCCTCGGAGTGCGACCCCCGCGCTGGAAACACCGTGTATCTGTTGAACCCCGTTTTAAATGCTGGAGGCCCAGCGGGGGGGGGGGGGGGCTGACAGCTCGCGACCCCCGTGTAATAACCCCCCGTTTGAGACCCCCTGACCCGCACCCCCCGGCCCGCCCCGCCCCGCCCCGCTCACCTCAGCACCTTGTTGGGCCGCCGGGGGTCGCTCATGCTGTTGCCGGACATTTGCTCCCGGGGGGCGCGGATCGGTGTAACACCCCGCGGCCCGCAGCAATGGTTCCGGGACACCCCCCGCCCCCCGCGCCTGGCCGGGGCGAGCCGGTCCCCGAGCCTGGCCCCACGGCGGGCGGGGGACGAGGCGGGGCCGACAACGAGCCCTGCACCCCGCGGCGGGTCCCGCTCCGAGCAGGTGGGGCCAAGCGGGGCGGAACCAAGGGAGCCGGAACCTGCGGGGCCAGGGGACGGGAATGGGAGGCGGACACAGAGGCCCCTCTCCCCGGTGCTGCGTGGGGGAGAGGAAGCAAAGGGGGGGCCTGGGGCTGGGGGGTGAGTGAGACTGATGGGCTGGGGAGGGCTCTGGGGGCGCGGGACCGTATAGGGGGATGATTGAGCCTTAATAGGCTGGGGAGGCTACGGGGGTTGGAAGGAGACTAAGGAACTGGGGGCTGTAGGGGGCTCTATAGGCGCAAGGCTGGGGAGGCCACGGGGGTCTCTGCAAGAGCTGGGTTGAAGGGCGCTGCACACAGCTCTGTAGGGGATGGCTCCAAATGTCTGCAGCTCCATAAGGCTCCCTGGGTCTTAATAGGATGACCTCTGTGTCCCCGACCGCACATGGAACCCAGCCACGGCCTAGATCTAGCGGGGGTTGGATTTTCCCTTTCCCTGCCTCCTGTGGCAGCAACAGGCACCAAATCACTTTCCTGTTGTTTCCTTAGCCAGGGCGGCACCAACCGCTTCCCCGAGCTTGTGAGCGAGTGTCTCCGGCCCCCAGGGAGACATCCGTAAAGCTGGAGTGTGGTGAGAGATTTGTAACCTGCCCCAGCTGACCCCTATTGTATCTTGTCCCCCCACCCCCATGCTTACAGAGTCCAGATCTCCCAGATTTAGCCACCATAGGTACTTGGTACATAGCCGCTTGGGTCCTATCATGGCGTTTCCTGAACCGAAGCCCAAGAAGCCAGAGCTGCCAAAGAAGCTGGTGCAGAATCTGGAGTGCAAACAGGGAGCGGTCAGGGCAGTGAGGTTTAATGGTGAGTTTGTCCTCACAGGCCCTGTGAAGTGAGTCAGTGGGGTCTAGTGGGTTGAAATGAGGGCTAGCACTCCTGGATTCTGTTCTCAGCTCTGGGAGGGGAGTGAGGTCTAGTGGTTAGAGCAGCAAAGTCAGACCCGTGCGGGGCGTTTAGAGGCCTGTTGATGCCAGCAGATGTCAAAGAGTTCAGACTGTTAATGTGTTGCTTATTGTTGTGTCCTGGTGGGAATGAGGATGTGTCTTAGTGGAGATCTGCCCTTAGTTTCTTCCATCATTTTGGGGGTTGGCTTGGAGGGGGCAGCTGGGAGAGCATGCATGGGACTAGCAGGGAGCCATGCAGAGCAAGAGGACAGCAGGGAGAAAAGCACCGCTGTGGGTGGAAATGCTGGATGTGCGGCTGGTGCCTGTGTGGGCTATGCTGTCCCTTTGCATCATTCTCCATCCCGTCTCCTGCAGTGGACGGAAATTACTGTCTCACCTGCGGAAGCGACAAGTCCCTGAAGCTGTGGAACCCCCACAAGGGGACCCTCCTGAAGACCTACAGCGGCCATGGCTACGAAGTGTTGGACGCGGCTGGGTAAGGGCAGGGGATGGACTCCACTTGACTCGTAACCCAAGGCACTTCAGGATCATACCACTTTAGAATGTTTAGCATGCAAGTGGTTGGAGGTGGTGGGGAAGGGTAATAGCGGAGTGAGGACTCCGGGGTTCCATCCCCACCTCTGGGAGGGAGTGGTTTTCAGTGGGTTGCGTAGGAGGGACACTGTTGGGCGTCAGGACTCCGGGTTTGCAGTGTGGCACATCCCCACCTTGTGCCTCAGTTTCCACCAATCTGTAAAACGGTGACAGCAACCCCAACATGCCAAAGGGATGCAAAGCCTCATAGATGCACGTCTGTAACCTCCCCCTGAGGTGTCAGATCCCCATGATAAAACCTAACCTTGTCTCTCTGCTTCCCCCACAGCTCTTTCGACAACAGCCAGCTCTGCTCCTGCGGGGCCGACAAAACAGTCGTCCTGTGGGACGTAGCCAGTGGGCAGGTGATCCGCAAGTTCAGAGGTCACGCAGGGGTGAGGCCCATTTGGTTACTGCAGTGCTGCCCGGGTTGGGGGGTGCTGCAGGCTGATGTCAGCTGGCCTGTACATGTGGGGAATGACTTGGTTGGGTGTGGGGAGGCGCCAGGGGAGGCCCAGCTACTCTGTCCCTACAGGTGTAGCTGGCTGCCCCATTGCTTATTACATCAGGCCAGGGAGGCTCCCTTGCTCTCAGCCAGTGGGTGTGATAGATGGCGACGGTAACCCTTTGTGCGTGCTACCAGGGTGGGGACTGAATCGAGGTGGTGCTGCCTAGGGAGCGCATAGACAGGTGAAGCAACTAAGTGTGGGCAAGGGGGGGAGGGTTTTAGGATGGTGAAGCAGCTCAGGGTTACGTTGAGTTGCTTGTAGGGAGCGTTGGGAGGGGAGATGTGGGGGCTGTGGGGAAGCTGCAGTCAGGTTCAGGAGGGGCTGAGGGGATCAGTGTGGCTTGGGGGAGATGCTAAGGAGCTGGGGTGATTGCTCGGCGGATGGCCCAGCGACTGCAGGGAGAGCACTCGAGGGCCACGCACCGTGTGCTGAACTTGGCCCCGGTTGTCCTTCCTGACCTGTCTCTCCATCCACAGAAGGTGAACTGCGTGCAGTTCAATGAGGAGGCCACCGTGATCCTGTCGGGTAAGCAGACCGGCTCTGAATCCCCAGCTGACTCATTGCGAGTCCTTCAGGAACTCCGTGGACTGGCAGGGCTAGATCCGGCCAGGCTGTTACTCCGAATCTGCTCTGTGCTCTCTCCTAGGCTCAATTGATTCCAGCGTCCGCTGCTGGGACTGCCGCTCACGCAGACCCGACCCAATCCAGATCCTGGACGAAGCGAAGGACGGGGTGTCCAGCCTGAAAGTGTCGGATTACGAGATCCTCTCTGGGTGAGGGGCGCTGCGTCAGGGAGGGGGCCGTAGACCCAAGTGTGAGTTAGAAGAGCCAGAGCCCCCAGGACCCAGACCAAACAACCTTCATCAGGGTAGGGAGAGGCAGGTAACCTCCCCCACCAGGGATGTGCTGTCTCACGTTTGACCCTTGTGGGTTGCCATATTCGGGAATGGAGCTGATTCAGGGGCTTGACTCCCCCCTTCTTCAGTTATATTCCCAGGAGATGCCCTGGGAGCACCCCAGCTGGGCCTGGGCAGTGTGTGTGTTGGAGGACTGGGCATCACATCCTCTGTACTTGCCCTGTAACCCCTCCCCCGTTGTCTCCCCAGCTCCGTGGATGGCCGCGTCCGGCGCTACGACCTGCGCGCAGGGGAGCTGTACTCGGATTACGTTGGAAGTAAGTGAGAGAAAACAGCTACCGCCAGGAGCCCTAGCCACGGAGCCAAGGCCAGAAGGGGGCGTGGCGATCTTCTGGGCTGACTGCCTCCATAGCACAGGCCAGAGAACGTCCCTGGGTTCAGTCCTGCTTGTAGGAGACATCCCACCAGGACTTCATAAAATCATAGAATCATAGAATATCAGGGTTGGAAGGGACCTCAGGAGGTCATCTAGTCCAACCCCCTGCTCAAAGCAGGACCAATCCCCAACTAAATCATCCCAGCCAGGGCTTTGTCAAGCCTGACCTTAAAAATATCTAAGGAAGGAGATTCCACCACCTCCCTAGGTAACGCATTCCAGTGTTTCACCACCGTCCTCGTGAAAAAGTTTTTCCTAATATCCAACCTAAACCTCCCCCACTGCAACTTGAGACCATTACTCCTTGTTCTGTCATCTGCTACCACTGAGAACAGTCTAGATCCATCCACTTGGAACCCCCTTTCAGGTAGTTGAAAGCAGCTGTCAAATCCCCCCCTCATTCTTCTTCTCTGACTGATTAAGGGGTAGGGAATGGCCTCTAGGGGGCACCAGTTCCAATGCTGCTCCAAGATGGGAAACAGGCTGTCAGGGAATGTGACACAGGGACCTTCCCCGTTAGGGGCGCTGGTTCCGATCCAGCCCTAGGGGAGGCTGGCTGGCCTCAGGGGAATGGGGCACTGGCTCTGATGCAACCCCAGGGCAGGGGGCTGGCTGGAGAGGTGGGGGAAATGCAGCACTGGCTCTGATGCTTCCTGAGGGCAGGGGGCTGGCTGGCCCAGAGGGAATGGGGCGCTGGCTCTGATCCAGCCCCAGGACAGAGGGCAGGCTGGCTCAGCTTTTATGCAGCGCCCCACTCTGTGCCAACTCCTGGTTTCCATCACCTCCAGCATCTGCTGCTTTGTCCTTGCAGGTCCTGTCACCAGCGTGTGTTTCAGCAAGGACGGGCAGTGCACGCTGGCTGCCAGCCTGGACTCCACCCTGCGTCTGCTGGACAAGGACACCGGGGAGCTGCTGGGAGAGTACGTGACCCCCTCGCTTTCTGGCCAGGAGCAGTCATTGTTGGGGAGACACACACCCCCCCGTCGCAGAGCTGGGGCTTAATACGGGGGCTCAGCCAGTCCCTGGACCTTTGTTGCACCAGAGTCTCATGCTCGCTCTCTCTGGGGCAGCCCCTCCCTGAGTCTCGGGTCTCAGACAGACACCGCCTGCTCTGGAGGTCAGCGACTGACTCTGAGCTCCCCTCCAGCCGCTGCAGCCCCCTAGCCTAACCCCTCAGGCCCAGCCCCTCAAAGATATTTAGGCACCTGCCTCACTGAAATCCAGGGCCACTGGTCCCTCAGGAGGGGCCGCTCACTGCACGAGGGCCCTGTACACAAGGAAAGGTGGCTTCGGGCCAGCCTGGGGCACAGCCCAGTGGTGTAATCCGGCTGGGGTACAGCAGGAGGGGTTCCCCGTTCTCCCCCATGCAGACCCTGTCTGGTCTATTCTGCTCTAGATACACCGGCCACAAGAACACAGCCTACAAGCTGGATTGCTGCCTGAGCGAGAAGGACACACACGTGGCCAGCTGCTCGGAGGACGGGAAGGTGTATTTCTGGGACCTGGTTGAGGTGAGGGGGGGCTGTGCAGGGCAAGTCTAGCCTGCAGTGGGCAGAGGCCCCACTCCTTGCCGTGGGGGTCAGGCCCCTCCTTTCCTAGCCGCCCGTGTCATTCTCACTGGGGGTCTTTCCTCCCCCCGCAGGGCTCCCTGATGCTGAGCCTGCCCGTTGGCAGAGGTGTGGTCCAGTCCCTGTCCTTCCACCCCAGCAAGCCCGGCCTGCTTACCGCCACTGAGGGGCGCGTGCAGTTCTGGAGAGAGGAGTCCCACGTGGTAGAGGAGCAGCCACCAGGCTGTTAAGCTGGAGCATTGGGCATACCTCCAGCCTGGAAGTTGATATTGGGCATGTTACTTCCCCTCCCTGGGCCTCAGTTTCCCTATCTGTAAAGTGGGAATAATACTTTTCTCCTTTGTAAAGGTGGGTGAAGATTTACAGAACAAATGAAAAAATGAATTAGCACATGGGTGTGCTTTAAAGGCACTGACCTGGGTTCATTAAGTGGTATGATACTGGGCAAGCTACTTATTTCCCCATCTCAAAAAGGGAGCATGAGGATAACTTCTTAGACTGTGGTCACAAGTGCTTTGGGAAGCTGGCCTTATTGACGGCCTTCAGTGCTGCCCTGCTTCCTTGGCCTGCTTCTGGATTTGCAAGAGGCAGCCAGGAGCCCAGCTCGCTGGTTACCGGGGGGGTGAGTGGGGTGTTAGAGGTGCTTCCTTGGCTGCTGGGGGGGGCTCCACAGGTGCGACGGTTGGGGGTAGGGTCTGGGACAGCCTCGGGCGGGGCAGACCCAGCCCTGGTCTGTCTCAGAGAGGAGCTGGGGTGGGCAGCCCAGCTGGGGCCTGGCTCCTGCCACGCTGCCCCTGGGAGGGCTGTGGGGTGGCTGGCTGGGGGTGTACGAAGGCTGTTGCCCAAGGCTGGGGAAGACACTGATGCTGTGATGTCATAAGAGGGTTATGTCATCCCTATGATGTCACATGAATGCCTTGACGTCATGACACGGGGGGGGGTCTATGAACCAGCCCTTGCCGAGGATGATCTCACCCCCAGGAAGGGCGGTCACGTGAGGAGGAGGGGCGGGCAGTACTTCCGCTATGTGACGTCATCTTCCGGCGCTGGAAGCCGCCTCGCCTGTGACGCTGGGGGCGGAGGCGCCGGATCCGGAAGTGGAGAGCAAGAGGAGGCGGGGCTCCGCTATCAGAGGGAGCGGTTCGGCCCCCGCCGGGGGTAAGAAGGGGGGCGGGGCAGGGCAGGGCAGGGCAGGGCCAGGCTGGTCCCGGGGGCGGCGGCTTCGTTCATTGCCCCTCCCCGGCCAGCCTGAGCCTCCTCCGCGCTGCCGGCCGCGCTGCCCCCGGTCCGAGCTCTGCCCCGGCTGCAGCCAGCGGCGCCCCTGGACCGGGCCCGGGCCCCCAGGTCTCTGCACGATCCCCCCCCGAGCCAGCCGGGCCCCCAGGTCTCTGTGGGGGGGGGCGACCCCCCCCGAGCCAGCCGGGCCCCCAGGTCTCTGCACGACCCCCCCCCTCCGAGCCAGCCGGGCCCCCAGGTCTCTGCACGACCCCCCCCCCGAGCCAGCCGGACCCCCAGGTCTCTGCACGACCCCCCCCCGAGCCAGCCGGGCCCCCAGGTCTCTGCACGACCCCCCCCCCCCGAGCCAGCCGGGCCCCCAGGTCTCTGCGGGGGGGGGCGACGCCCCCCCCGAGCCAGCCGGGCCCAGGCCCCTAACTCTGTGGGGCCAGAGGCCTAGGAATCCGAGTCTGGCCCTGTCTCTCCTGGCTCCCTGCAGCAAATCTAGCCTAGTCCAGCCAGCCTCCTGCGGGTGGCCTGTGCGCTCCCCCTCCAGCGGCACAGGCAGGTCAGTCACCTGGCTGTAGCATCTGAATGCCCTTAGGTTAGCGCTGGGCGGAGGTAAACCATGGGCCATCCTGGCCAAGCCGGGCCCATCAGCAAAGCTGCTGTCGAATCCATCCCTGTCTGTCTCCTTGTCAGCCCCAAGCGAAAGCTTCTCTGGCTCCCCAGAGGCCAGCCCTTCTCCCTGACGCCTGTCCCCTTCGTTCTCCAGCTGGGGCTTTTGCTCCACATCCTGGGGGAGGGGGGATCTCCTCCTTCTTGGTTTCTAGGTGTGACTGTTTTAGCCTTTGGGGTTCCTGTTGTCTTTCCAGCTTCTCCATAGATATGGCTCAGTTTCAGCCCTCCTTTAGTGACCCATTCATCCCACCCCAGAGAGTTACATCACATCCTTCCCTGGTATCTCCTTATCTGCCCCAAACAGTAGATAACCCTTTTGTTCCACCCTGGGTAGCAAGCCAAATACATAGTACATACACAGAGGAAAATTCCCACTTTGTCAGTGAAGACATCTGAGAGAACCTGTTAGAATGAAGCACCTACCTTCCACTCAGAGCGATGGGCTCAGGCTCTCTGCGGGCTCAGGCACTGTTGCTGTGTCAGTCACACTTGAGGCAACAGTGTCGTCTCAGGCTCTTTGCAGACTCCAGGAGTGTAACAGTCAGGGCATGTGTTTTTTTCACAACCACAGGAGCTGAAGACTTTAATTAATGATGAAAGCTGAAATTCTGGAGAACAATTGAGAAGTCTGTCAGTCCTAACTTCTCTTTCCCCCCCACTGACACACACAGTTTGGGAAACACTGCAGAACAAGAGGATGGGAAGCTGAGGACATAGGGCTGTGGGTCTGAGCTGGTACAGCAGGTGGATGCAATGGTGGGTCTAGAGGGACCATAGTAGAGAAATGCAGAACAGGAACGAACACCTGGAAATTCAAGCCAGACACATTCAAATGAGAAATTAGACACTGATTTTTGAGAGGGAAGATAATGAACCATTAGAACAGACTCTGAAGGAAGTGGTGGATTCTCCATCTTGTCTTGTCTTCCAGTCAGGTTGTCTTTCTGAAAGATGCTTTAGCCAAACACAAGTTACTGGGGTCGCTGAATGGCCTGCGATCTACAGGAGGTCAGGCTAGATGATCTAATGATCGCTTCTGGCCTTAAACTCCAACCCTGAGCACATACAGCTACCGGATGAGCTGGCAGAATGAAAGGGACTGGTGGACTGAACCTGTCCCTTGCTGTATCGGCTGCATGGGGTAGAATGGCCAATGTTATGCTCTGCTCTATGCTTACATACGATATGCTCTACTGGTTCCTATGCTGCGCTTGCCACTCTCACTGTCCCTACTGCTTCTGCAGCCATGGACCTGGCACCAAGCTCCTCCGAGGACCCCCAAGGCTCCGACAATGACTCCGACGCAGAGAACAAGGTTGATCCAGACACGCAGGCTCAGGAATACATCGACCGCATCCTCAGCTCTGCTCAGCCCAGCCACAAGGCCCAGTGCCCACCTCCCGAGTCACTGTCTGTGGGGCCCAGGGCCCAGGCATCGGAGCACAGGTCTCCCCTCGAGCTGAAGAAGTCTCCTGCAAGCGACGACGTGACCTCTGGGCTGTTAGCCCTCCCTCTGGAGCTGATCCTGGAGATCTGCTCTTATCTGGAAGCCAGGTTTCTTCAGAAGGTCTTGCCCTTGGTCTGTCGGACCCTCAGGGATATTGTGCAGGACCCAGTGACCTGGAGGATTCGCCTTCAGAAGAGGATCAGTGGGTGTTACCCGGTGGTGGAAGGTAGATCTCCATTGGACTTTCTTCATTGGAGGTGGGACTTGGAGGAGACACAAGGACTGAGCACGGGACTAGGGGCCAGGACTCCTGGGATCTACTGTAGGACCAGATGCTATTTCATGGGCCTCAGAGAGGTCCCCCAGTTAACTTTACTATCTTGAGAGTTAGTTGGTGCTGGTTAGAGCTGTGTGGGAGAGGGTAACAATAACTCCAGGGTCCTATCCCCAGCTGTTAGGGCAGGGGGCTGGGATTCGTGACTCCTGGGTTCCATCCCCAGCTCCAGAAGGGAGTCTAGTGGTTACAGTGGAGGGGGGCACTCGGAATCAGGACACCTGACTTCTGTTCCCTGCTTTGCAGCTGACGTCACTATGTGATCCTGGCCAAGTCCCCTCCCTGCTTTGCCTTGGCTTCACCTCTGTAATGGCAGTAGCTCCCCCGATCTTCCTTGGAGTGGGGGCTGGGGAGTGGGAGCTAGAGATTTGCCTAGTTTTACAAGAGGTGACACAAAAACCACTAGCGAAGTCAGTACACACTAAAATTTCGCACAGACAATGACTTGTTTCTACTGCTCTATAGACTATACACTGAAATGTAAGTACACTATTTCCATTCCAATGGATTTATTTTATAATTCTCTGATAAAAATGAGAAAGCAAGCCATTGTTCAGTAACAGTGTGGCTGTGACACTTTGGTATTTTTATGTCTGATTGTGTAAGCAAGTAGTTTTAAAGTGAGGTGAAGCTTTGGGGTACGCAAGACAAATCAGACTCCTGAAAGGGCTACAGTAGCCTGGAAAGATTGAGAGCCGCTACCCTGAAGAAAGCGATTTTTACACAGCCCCACCTCGACCTGGTGCAGGAGATGGGGAGTGGCTGTGGGATCAAAGCTCCCAGCAGTTTTGGAAGCCCCAGATTCCCTATCCACCCAGGCTATGGGATGCCCAGAGCGGACACCCCTCACCCTGATCCTTGCGATCTCTTCCTGTCTACGCAGAGGAGGACTTCGACTGGCCGGCTGCCTGCATGGAGCTGGAGGAGCATCTCAGACACTGGGCCTGTGATGGCAGGAGAACGGAGTACTTCTCCCTCGCCAACGGCCACTTCTCCTCCATCAACTCCGTTCTGCTCTTGCAGGTGAGATCCGATTTCCTCCTTTGCTGGCCACTGATGTCTGGGAGTGGGGTGGGGCAGGGCTTGGGAGTCAGGACTCCTGGGTTCGACTGCTGGCTGTGGGAGGGAAGGGTGTGAGGTAGAGCAGAGTCAGGACTCCTGGGTTCTATTTCTGGGTTTAACAGCTGCTGATCTCTAATCATGAGACGCAGCTGTTGGCTGGAGTAGGCATGGAAGACTCTCTTCCCATGTACGGTTGGTTGTGGTGGTGGTATCTTCCGAGCCCTGTTAACTAGGGCAGCTCCGCACATTGGTCTCTGGCTCCAGGAGTTCTGTAGGGTGAGAGTAGGCGATACTTTTACATGTATCTGAGCGGCTCACATCATTTTCACAGCGAGAAATTGAGACATGGACCAGGGAAACGACTTGCCTAAGGTCCTATAGCAAATTGTTGGCAGAGTCAAGAATAGAACCCAGGAGTCCTGACATCCAGCCCCGTCCGGCTCTAACTTCTGAGTCCCTGCCTCTGACCATCCCATCATCTCTTTGCTCCTGTACCAATGACTGACCAGTTTCTCCCATTTCAAAGGACCCGTGGCCAGTCTGTCTCCTTCTCTTGCAGGGTGGGGCTCTCTGTGTCTCAGGCTCCCTGGATCGG